TGGACCAGAGCAGAGAAAATGGTCTGAACCAAGAGACTACTCCACCTCTGCTGCTGTGACCTGAAGGAGAATTTCTCCTACAAGGATCCATAAAGTTTCTATCAATCAATCAATCAATCTTTATTTATAGGGCGCTTTTCCTGCACAGGGCAACACAAAGCGCCTCACAGTCCACACCACACAATGCACAAATCATCACCATTAAAATACAATTAAAAACACATATGTAATTAAAAAGCATTAAAATCACATAAGTAATTTAAAAACATAAAAATCACACAAGTAATTAAAAACAATAAAATAGTTAAAAACACAAAAAGTTACAACAATAAATAACAAGGTGTGTTAAAAAGATAAAATTCTCTAGTTGTATGCACGGGAAAAAAGAAAAGTCTTTAACATGGATTTGAACATTGACAGAGAGGCAGCCAGTCTCACATCCTCAGGAAGACCGTTCCAGACTCCAGCTGCATAAATCTGAAAAGCAGCCTACCCCTGTCTAGTCCTGACTCTGGGCACTAACAGGAGTCCCGTCCCTGCGCTCCTCAGAGTCCGGGCTGGTTCATATGGGACTAGCATATCATGGATGTACTTTGGTGCAAGGCCATGGAGAGACTTGTACACCAGGAGAGCTGCTTTAAAGTCTATCCTCTGGGCCACGGGAAGCCAGTGCAGAGACCTGAGGACCGGACTAATGTGGTCGTACTTCCTGGTTCTAGTCAGGACTCGGGCTGCAGCATTTTGAATATACTGCAACTGTCTTACGGCATGTTTGGAGATACCTGTGAGCAGGCCATTGCAGTAATCCAGCCTACTGGAAACAAAAGAATGGATAAGAATCTCCAAGTCTGCCCTGGACACAATATTTTTAATTTTGGCAATATTTTTCAGATGATAAAAAGCTGCTGATGTTAGCGATCCAATGTGGCTATTGAAGTTTAAGTCAGAGTCCATTATTACTCCCAGATTTCTGACCTTATTTAAGGGCCTTAGGGAGAGAGACTGAAGGTGACAAATGACGGTCTCTCTTTGTTTCTCGGGACCAAAGACAATCATTTCGGTTTTGTCCGCATTTAGCTGGAGAAAATTGCATTGCATCCACTCACTGATCCGCTGGATACAGCGAAGGAGTGAGTCCACCGGCCCATGCTCTCCTGCAGTCAGTGAGACATAGATCTGAGTGTCATCAGCGTAATTGTGGTAGGACACTTTCATACTTTGAATTAACTGACCTAATGGCAGCATGTAAATATTGAACAGGAGAGGTCCCAGAATCGACCCCTGTGGCACTCCGCAGGTCAGGGCCATATTATCTGAGACATAGTTTCTAATCTCCACACAATACTTCCTTTCTTCTAGATAGGACCTAAACCAGCTTAGGGCGGTACCAGCAACACCAACCCAGTCCTCCAGTCTCTGCATGAGAATCTCATGGTCAACGGTGTCGAAAGCGGCACTCAGATCTAACATGACTAAAACAGAGACTTTTCCTGCATCAGTGTTAAGCCGAATATCATTTGTTACCTTGACTAGAGCGGTCTCAGTACTGTGGTGTGGTCTAAAGCCAGACTGAAACATCTCAAATGAGTCATTAGATATTAAAAATTCAGTAAGTTGTTGGTAGGCAACTTTTTCAAGAATTTTTCCCATGAAAGGCAGATTTGAGATGGGACGGTAATTTTCAAGTACCGCAGCATCCAAACTGCTCTTTTTTAGGAGGGGCCTAATGACTGCCTTTTTCAGGGCCATTGGAAATGTTCCAGATAAAAAAGACATGTTTACTATTTGTGTCAATGAGGGTAATAGACTACACATAACAGACTTCAGAAATCTAGGAGGTAGTACATCCAGACTGCAGGTAGAGGAACTAAGACCTGTGATTATCTTTTTAACAGTTTCATCATTGACAGGTGCAAATTGAGCTAGCTCACAAAGCCTCACTGGATGTTGCATTGTTACTTGTGTTGTAGAGGTGATGGCATTTCTGATACCCTGAACCTTGTCTCTGAAGAACTGTGCAAACTCATTACACCTGGATTTGGAGTAGTGTTCTAATGGCAACTCAACAGGGGGTTCGTTAATCTATTGATTGTTGAAAATAGAACACGCAGATTGTTGCTGCAGCCTTCAATAGTTTCAGAAAAGTATAATTCTCTTGTTCTACGTAGTACTCTGTTAAACTCACACAACTTCTCTTTTAAGAGTCTATAATCACCCTGGAGGTTGGACTTTCTCCACTTTCTCTCTGCTCTCCGGCACTCTTGCTTCTGTGCCCTGACCGGGCCTGCTTTTATCCATGGGGCTTTTTGCTTATTTGTGACCATTTTTACCTTCACAGGGGCAATGGCGTCCAGAACATTCAACACACTAGAGGTGACAGAGTTAAACAGTTCATCTACAGTAGAACATGATGCGTTCTCAAAATGGATCATTCCCATAAATAGTTCACCCGTGTTTTCATTTAAGTGTCTACTTCTAACAATTTCATATTTAGCGGGTGGTCTGGTAGCAAAACACATGTTAAAAAATACACAGAAATGATCCGACAGAGCAACATCAACTACATTAACTTTTGAAATATTCACCCCTTTCGTGATAAGCAGGTCCAAGGTGTGTCCTCTGCTATGGGTGGGGCCACTCACATGCTGAGTGAGGCCAAAGGATTCAAGTATGGAACTCAGCTCTTTTGCGTATCTGTCATTAACATTATCCACATGAATATTAAAATCGCCTATAATGACTAAACCATCAAAATCTGTGCACACAACTGAAAGCAACTCAGTGAAATGATCAGTGAAACTATGGCATGACTGTGGCGGCTTGTACACAACAACAATAAGAATGGAAGAAGATTTCTTTTGTTCTATTTTAAAAGAAACATACTCAAATGATGAAAATTTCCCAAGAGACACCCTATGGGAGACAATACGATCTTTAAAAACTGCTGCTATGCCCCCCCCCCTTTTATTTTCTCGTGTTTCATATTCAAATTTGAAATTTGGTGGTGAGGCTTCTATTAAAACTGCATCTCCTGTATTATGGTCAAGCCATGTTTCAGTCATAAACATAAAATCAAGATCATACGAACAGATAAAATTATTAATTAAATAATTCTAACTAGCCAAGATCAAAAACATAGTGTCTAAAGCAGACCTGGAGATTCTTATCCATGCATTTGTCTCCAGTAGGTTAGACTACTGCAATGGACTGCTCACAGGTCTGTCCAAACAGGCTGTAAAACAGCTGCAGTACATTCAAAATGCAGCAGCTCGAGTCCTGACTAGAACCAGGAAGTGCGACCATATTAGTCCTGACTAGAACCAGGAAGTACGACCATGTCAGTCCTGACTAGAACCAGGAAGTACGACCATATTAGTCCTGACTAGAACCAGGAAGTACGACCACATTAGTCCAGTCCTCAGGTCCCTGCACTGGCTTCCTGTGGCTCAGAGAATAGACTTTAAAACAGCTCTGCTTGTTACAAGTCTCTCCATGGCCTCGCACCAAAATACTGTATATTAGTGACATGTTAGTCCCATATGAACCAGCCCGGACTCTGAGGAGCACAGGGACTGGCCTCCTGCTGGGACTCTGAGGAGCACAGGGACTGGACTCCTGCTGGGACTCTGAGGAGCACAGGGACTGGCCTCCTGCTGGGACTCTGAGGAGCACAGGGACTGGACTCCTGCTGGGACACTGAGGAGCACAGGGACTGGACTCCTGCTGGGACTCTGAGGAGCACAGGGACTGGACTCCTGCTGGGACACTGAGGAGCACAGGGACTGGACTCCTGCTGGGACTCTGAGGAGCACAGGGACTGGACTCCTGTTAGTGCCCAGAGTCAGAACTAAACATGGGGAGGCTGCTTTTCAGATTCATGCTGCTAAAATCTGGAACAGTCTTCCTGAAGATGTGAGTGAAGTCAATAATTCCCTTTGACTGACGTATCCAAAATCGATGCAAGAGCGAGACAAGAGATCTTCACGTTTAACATCTGCATTTAATTATCTTTACAATCAGATACAGAATGTTCAACAAAAAGTGCTCCTAAAACTATATATGTCCCTCTCTCCTGGCCCTCGGCTGACTGACTGCCAATCTCCTCCCAGCAGTTTCTATCAAAGGGTCCGATGACGTCACAGTCTGGGACTGGTCTGGCCCCTGGTCTGGACCCGGTCTTGGTCTTCCCTCTCCACCTGAGCAAACAATGCCCCCCACCACTGGGCGCCTGATTGTGTTGGACTTTTGCCCTCGTCCAGAGTGGGAGAGAGCATTTGTTTATTCCTGGAGTTAATAATTTGTCCCGTTTTGAAAGCTGGTCATCTCTATGATTCCTGAGTGCATATTCCTTTGTCCTTGGGGCTTTTCCCCGTGCACCTTCTTCAGAGGGCCTATTTTCAAAATCATTAGTATACAACATTTTAATTATGCAACATGAGACAGGCCTCCTCTCTGACAATGTTTAAAACCAGGTTAAAGACGGTTCTGTTTAGCTGTGCATACAACTGAGAGATTTCATATTTTTATCTTTCTTTTTAATGTTCTGTTAATTATTTATGATTTTAATGCTTTCTTGTTTTGTTCAGCACTTTGAGTTGCCTTGTGTATGAAATGTGCTATACAAATAAACTTGCCTTGCCTAACTAACTGACTTGCAGCAGAACACAAATGTTAAAAATAATGATTTCCTCGAGATTTTTGACCAGATTTGAAGGTTTTCGGGAGAGAGACTAGAGGTGACAGATGACGCTCTCTCTTGAGTAAAGACAGTTCAGTTTGGTCTGAGTTTGGATCCACTGAGACCTCTGTCCATGTTCTGCTGCAGTCAGTGAGACATAGACCTGAGTTCCATAGAAATAGATTTGATACACAACTACTATTCTTTTACAAATGTTAAAGAACGATTAAAGCGAGGGATGAAAGGAGGACTATAAACGGCCAAAGTGAAGACTATAAATGCATATATGTTCTGTGAGTGGAGTTGGCCCGACGTGGATCACATGTCGAGTGTGGGTCAGGCGTCTGGGCGGAGATGCGTGAGAACGGCTCTGTGCTGTGTTCACCGGAGGCCGAGCCGAGCCGAGCCTCCGAAAGACGATCCGTGTTGTTTCGGAGATGGATGCGAGCGGAGCCAGGCGCGCCGGCTTCGCTCACAGGGGCAGCGAGGCCGGTGGGTGAGTGACGGGAGGTTTCAGGTGAACGCCGAGAGAAACCAGAGACCGGAGGTGGCTCTGCAGATGCATCCTCACTCTTTCCACTCACACGTCCCGCCCTCCACAGGTGAAGGGGATGGAAACATTTGGACAACTGGGACAAGAGCTTTAAACTGGGTCAAATATTTCAGTAGTACGGCAGAGTTTATCTGCACAGCTCAAAGAAACATCACACAAAACATTACTTTGTTTGGCTATAATCTGGCATGTTTACATTCATGTTTTTAATGTCTGTTCATTGACATGCACTGTCCCATTCAAATAAATAAATAAATAAATAAACTATAATGTATAATCACGGAGCGTTAGGAGAAGATTCGATCCTTTGGTTGTGTGTTCAGCTAAACACATGTCATTTATCAGTGAAGCCTCATTTTCAGACGGACTTATTATGTTTAACTGGACACACTGTGTAGCATCATCTTCAATAAACATCTGTTGAATGGAAACGGCTGCAAGTTTTTTCATTTCTTTTTTCTGCCTGAGATGTTGCTGCAGTTCAGTGTTCATGGTTTTACACTGGTCCAGACCAGAGCAGAGAGGATTCATGGTTTTACACTGGTCCAGACCAGAGCAGAGAGGATTCATGGTTTTACACTGGTCCAGACCAGAGCAGAGAGGATTCATGGTTTTGCACTGGTCCAGACCAGACCAGAGAGGATTCATGGTTTTACACTGGTCCAGACCAGAGCAGAGAGGATTCATGGTCCAAGAGGATCAGGCAGAGATCCACTGGAGGAATGAAAAAATGCTAATTAAGCGTTTTACTTTGGACGAGAGCAGAGAAAATTGAAAATGTTCTGTTATTATTACTATTGTTGGCATTTTAGAAAAACTAAAGCATTTGTGGTGTTGTTTGGATGGATTTGTTTTTACTTCTGAATTTCTTCTACAGGATCAATAAAGCATCTGTGTGTGCAGCAGTCGGCCCTGTGTGCCCCGGGGCAGTCCTCTTTGTCTTTCTCTGATGTCATTATACAAGAGAGAGCCCTGTGAGTCACTATTTGACTTGTTATCTAAAAAACAGATCTTATCTTCGTGTGTTTAGGGAAACTGTCCTGACAGATGATAAACCTCGGCCTCGAGTCTTTGGAAGACTCAAAGCTTCAAATGATCCGACGACTGCAGGGCCTTCACCCCATCACTGTCAGACTGTACAATAAGTCACTTTAAGGCCCTGTTTATACTGAGATGCTGCGCAGACGTTTCCAGGCTATTAACAGAAACGACCAGGCTCCTAATGCAAATTTCTCACATGAGGTTGAAAAACGATGTAGTTCTAGCGCCCGGCCAGTAGGGGGCAGAGAAACTTTACAACACTCACACGACCCCCAGCCCCGTGCCCAGCCCCCCCCCCCCCTCTCGGCAGTATATTCACTTCCTGTACCAGACCCTCAGAACGTACCAACATCATTCTGCATTTTAACAACAGCTGTGAAAATGGAAACTGAACCTAGAGCTTCGCGTGGTCTCGTTTGGACGAACGAAGGTGTAGAATTATCCTCTGTGCCGCGCTGGAAGCCCACGTAGCTAGTTAGTGCGTGCGGCGCCATTTTTGTTTTTGTTTGTTCACACAGTCTCCGTATAAACGGTTGGTACCAACCGACATCCAACTATACCGTTTTACTGCCACATTGTCTCCGTGTAAACTCAGCCTAAGTCACTAATGACCTGATCTAGGGCTATTGCCGTGAGAGTTTATACAGCTGTTTTTATTGTACATAATATATCCTGCACACGAAAAAACACTTTTTTAAACATGTTTTCACACGTCTGTCTTTTTGCACAGTCTGTGATTCTGTTGATGCCAAATGTGACGCGTACATTTGTCCAGTGTGAGATCAATAAAGTTTATCTTATCTTAAGGTGTCATTAAAAGGTGTTTGTTGTAATCAGACTGTAAATATTAACAGACGCAGTCACACCTATAACCGCCGTTCAAACTAATGTGTCACCACTTTCGCCGTCTATGGGCATTTTCAAAATGGCCGCGGGGGCTGGATAATGTGAAGAAACACATTTGCTCATGTGTTAGCTTCACGAGCCCCATTCATTTAAAGAGAACGTTCAAAAGTCCACAGCGACTAAACTAGACTGGTCCGAACCCCCCCCCCCCCCCTCTGCATCAACAGCATCTGGATCGTACCTTTGGGCAAAGAAGCAGAATTCACCGAGCGTTGGATTTTTCACCCGCTAAAAGGAACGTGAGCTGGGGTTAGAACGCGGTGTTGTGGGAAAGGGAACGTTTTAGAAGGACTTTTAACTGCTTTGATTTTTGTGATGTGTTTTGTGTGTTTTTATGGTTTTATTGGGTGCATTTTAATCACAGTTCCTTGGACACTTTCCCTAATTACCCAAACCTGCCTTTAACCAGGAGGACCTCCAATTGGGGGCGGGCACTGCAGCGAGAGCCAGAGACAGTGCGGTTTCCAGAGGAGGAGGACACGGAACCGGGCCAAGGACGAGCACCGCCAGCCAGAGACCCCGGGGCACTGAGGCCAGCGGGGGGAGCGGCACCGGTGAGGGGGGCGCATTGATAGAGCATGAAGGCGTGTGCGCGCCCAAGCTAGGCCCACTGAAGACCGGGATGTGCCGGTGGCGACCCGTGGTCGGCGAGTGGCTGGCGGGACTGCGGCCCGGTCCCGGGACAGAGGAGAAGAGCAGAGGCCAGTGGGGACGGACGAGCGGCTCTGGGCTTTTATCATCTTTTTTAATGGACCTTTTGTAAATATTTTATTAAATGTTATCCCCTTTTAATCCTCTTGCTTTTTATTGATCACACTCAACAGACTCTTTTAAACCTGTGACAGTGTGACAGGCTAGTGTTACCTCCTGAGGATGTGTTGTTGTGACAGTGATGCCCCTTTGGGCCCAGAGCCAACTTTCAGACCATCCTCTAAAGCTGTTTTTGAGAGGTAAGAAGATGCTATATGTTAGCATTGGCTCATTCTTTTCCCGGGTTCACTCCCACTGGCCTGGGGTGGTATTGCAGCATGTCAGGGCACACTTTTGAGTCGGGACCATAGACTGTATATATTAATGGACAGAGTCACTATCTCCGCCGTTCTAACTAATGGGCCAAAAAATGTGCTCTACTGGAGCAATCCAAAATGGCAGCAAATGGTCCCGCCCACAAGAAAATAGTGAAAAAACGCATCTGCGCATGCGTCAGCCGGAGCAGCTCCATTCATTTGAACGAGAGACTTCAAAAATTCACAGCAAGTAAACTAGAGTGGACCAGAACACTCAGCAGTGACACACATGTGGAACGGAGCTTTGGGCCAAGAGACAACTTTTGGTCCATCCTGTAAAGACGTTTTTGAGAGGTCTGCCAATGCTATATGTTAGCATTGGCTAATTCTACTTCTGGGTCCACCCCCACAGGCCCGGGGTGGTATTGCAGCATGTCAGCGCACGTCATTTTGGACACTTTTGAGCTGGGACCCGCTCTCACCGGTTGTAATTCGTGTCAAACTCGTGGATACATTCTCTGTGTACATTTCTTACCTGTATTCATCGGTGAACAACTCTCGAGTTCCGCACATTAAAGAAGGACGTAAAACTGACTTTTTCTTTCTTTAAAATAACTGGACACAAGACGACTGTAAATGATGTCTTAAAGATCGTCCACAGACCGTTAATTATGGATCTGTAACTGGATTTGCTGCATGTTCATTAAATATTCATTCATTTTTCCATGTTCGTCAGGCCCACATCAGACACACATGAAGTATGGATTCTCTACACTTACAATTTGTATTAATATATTTAGTTAAACTTTAATTATACAGTATAAAAAGATACGTGTCAACAATTGATTAATTTATATCAGGATTAACCATTTTCTCCACAGTTGGTAACTTTACTGAGGCTCAAGGACGATCTTTGGGAGATTTAAACTTTTTAGTAAGTTCTTATCACTTTAGTAAATAGTACTTTAGTTCATCAGACTTGACCTGGGCCCGAGAACCTGGATTTAAAACAGGATTTGAGCTGGATCGACTGGATTCTGGAATTTAAAATGGGTCATGATACGTCCTTATTGATTCACTGCTGCATTTTATTTGAAATGTTGGGACAATAAAGTTAACGACTGGATTCCAGAGGGTCTGAGGTTTACCACAAGCTATAGCATGACTGTGTTAGTGGAGCTTAAGTTGGTTGGATGACACTATCAAAGTGCCTCAATGGCGACTTTGTGTTAGCAGCAGAGGGGCCAAATAAAATGACTCAGAGGACCGCAATGAGCCCACGGGCCTGAGTTTGGACACGCCTGACTTTACCCATACTCTGGACCGTCCTACGCTCTTCATACTTTCTCAGTGTCAAGAAAAGAAGCTAACTGCTAAACTAAACAACAACTGCTTTCAATACTTAAAAACTATTTAAACTTACATTCATAAACTCCTATAGATGTCTAAATATAATGTTGTTATTACTGTCACGACTCCTGCTGTCTCCCTCTTTGAGATTTGTTTGGTGTGAAAGTGAAAGCTCGTCTGCTCCTGTTATTAGCCGCTCTAGCTAGCTCGCAGCATTAACTGGGATTATGCAAATGAGTGAGAGGCGATAGGTCCTGAGGGGGAGACACGAAGCAGGCCAAAGCAGGTAAACAAGGCTCTGGTCTGCGTCGGAAAAATAACTTCATTAACTCAGTCAGCTCTCAAACTTAGACATCAGAGTGGTAGAGAGTCAGAAACAATGACTTTAGAACCTTTTCTGTGAGTAATTTTAGATGTTTTTGCTTTTGTGACTCCTGCCTGTATTTAAATAATATACCACTCTAGTTCACCTTGTCCAGAGAGGCTGAAAACCTGGATTGAAAAACTTTAAAATCAGCTTTAATGAGTTTGACGTTGGCTACGATGGCAACTCAATTTTGTGCCACAAAAAAACAAGCTTTACAACAAGATATAACATACGTATATATGGGTAGAGCTGAAGTTGGCTGTATGACACTGTGAACTGGTGTCTATGATAGCGTGTGTTAGCGAGGCAGAGGCCAGATAACATGACACAGAGGGCCGCATTCAGCCCGCGGGCCTGGGTTTGGACATGTCTGGTTTAGGAGCTGTTTTGCCGGAATAATGAGGGGTGTATTTTTTTATCAAATTGGAAAAAATACTTGATGTAAAAATGAGCTGAGGAAAGTATTGGAAGTAAAATAATCTGGAATCATAAAATTATAGTAGTTTTCACAGTTCCCCAATGTTCTACTTGCTTCCTTCACAGATTTTATTTTCAGAATTCTTGAAGACTCAAAGAAGGAAAAAAAATCTGCTGATTGCTAACTTGATCTGCAGTCTGAGTTCGACCTTTGACAGCCCTCTAGTCATTTAAAGTCTTAAACCGTGGTATTTTTGCATCACTTAAACACTCACAGTGTATGAAGCTTCCTCAGAGCAGACTGGGCCTCTGCTCCACAGCGCCCTCTGCAGTTACCCCCTGGTGCCTGCATGCAGCAGCTGAGGCCTGGTCATGTGACACGGTCATATGACATGGTCATGTGACGCGCCTGTGGCTGAGGCCGAGGCTCAGGTCAGAAATAGCCTGCTCTGCTCTGAAGCTGGTCTGGGACTGGTTTGAATCAACATCAGCGGCTCTGGGTCTTATCTGTGGACTGGGTAATGTATACCACAATATACCAGTATGTATACCACAATATACCAGTATGTATACCACAATATACCAGTATGTATACCACAATATACCAGTATGTATACCACAATATACCAGTATGTATACCACAATATACCAGTATGTATACCACAATATACCAGTATGTATACCACAATATACCAGTATGTATACCACAACATACCAGTATGTATACCACAATATACCAGTATGTATACCACAATATACCAGTATGTATACCACAATATACCAGTATGTATACCACAATATACCAGTATGTATACCACAATATACCAGTATGTATACCACAATATACCAGTATGTATACCACAATATACCAGTATGTATACCACAATATACCAGTATGTATACCACAATATACCAGTATGTATACCACAATATACCAGTATGTATACCACAATATACCAGTATGTATACCACAATATACCAGTATATATACCACAATATACCAGTATGTATACCACAATATACCAGTATGTATACCACAATATACCAGTATGTATACCACAATATACCAGTATGTATACCACAATATACCAGTATGTATACCACAATATACCAGTATGTATACCACAATATACCAGTATGTATACCACAATATACCAGTATGTATACCACAAAAGTTTTCTGGTTAATGGATACTAAAATGTGTATTCAAAATGTCCGCTAAATGTCACTATCTGCTGATATCTTGCCAGATTTGGTCCTCGGGCAACGTCCTTTATGGAGAAAATGTTCAAATGTTCTTGTGGGCGGAGTCAGGCTGTTCATGTGGGCGGAGTCAGGCTGTTCATGTGGGCGGAGTCAGGCTGTTCATGTGGGTGGAGTCAGGCTGGGTACAGATGTTTAGTCGCTCTTTAAGGAGAGAATCCGGCCATTTTTCAATATAATAAAAACAGAAATAATGTACTGGTGGCTCGGTTCAAATGTCCCACGGCCCGGTACTTGTCCCACGGCCCGGTACTTGTCCCACGGCCCGGTACTTGTCCCACGGCCCGGTACTTGTCCCACGGCCCGGTACTTGTCCGCGGACCGGGGGTTGGGGACCGCTGCCGTAGAGGGCTGATGAGTTCACGTCTGGGACACGACTCGTACCTGAAAGAACCTCTCAGCTCCAGAGCCGTGAAAGTGAAGCGTGAAAGACATTAAAGGTGTTTCTTTCAAGTTCCACCTCAGGCTGAAGGAGACATTTATATATGTACAGTTTATTTAGTTGGCACAGTGAAGGTTGTTGAACAGGCCTGAACTCACCCTGATCCGACCAGAACTTTAACCATAGTAGTGATAATAGTGAAGTGTGTGTGCTCCTGACTGGACCTCACTGCTCACTATCATCTCCTCTCTCTGTCTCTCCCTCCCTCTCTCTCTCCCTCTTCTCCTCTCCTCTCTCCTCCCCTCTCTCTCCCTCTCTCTTACTCCACTCTCTCCTCTCCTCTCTCCTCTCCTCTCTCCTCTCCTCTCCCTCCCTCTCTCTTACTCCACTCTCTCTCCTCTCTCTCCTCCTCTCCCTCTCCCTCCCTTCCTTCCTCTCTCTCCCTCCCTCCCTCTCTCTCTCCTCCTCTCTCCCTCCTCTCCTCTTCTCTCTTCTCTCTCCCTCCCCTCCCTCTCTCTCCTCTACTCTCTCCCCCTCCCTCCCTCCCTCCTCTCTGTGAGTCCGGCCCGTTGCTCTCTCTGCAGGGCTGTGTTTTTGCCAGCTCCTGTGCAGCGACAGCAAAGGTCACAGCTCATTTGCCTCAGCTCTGGGTCAGTGCAGCAGCCCTCCTCCTCCTCTCTGCAGCTCTGGGTCAGTGCAGCAGCCCTCCTCCTCCTCTCTGCAGCTCTGGGTCAGTGCAGCAGCCCTCCTCCTCCTCTCTGCAGCTCTGGGTCAGTGCAGCAGCCCTCCTCCTCCTCTCTGCAGCTCTGGGTCAGTGCAGCAGCCCTCCTCCTCCTCTCTGCAGCTCTGGGTCAGTGCAGCAGCCCTCCTCCTCCTCTCTGCAGCTCTGGGTCAGTGCAGCAGCCCTCCTCCTCCTCACTGCAGACCCTGGGTCAGTGCAGCAGCCCTCCTCCTCCTCACTGCAGACCCTGGGTCAGTGCAGCAGCCCTCCTCCTCCTCACTGCAGCTCTGGGTCAGTGCAGCAGCCCTCCTCCTCCTCACTGCAGACCCTGGGTCAGTGCAGCAGCCCTCCTCCTCCTCTCTGCAGCTCTGGGTCAGTGCAGCAGCCCTCCTCCTCCTCTCTGCAGCTCTGGGTCAGTGCAGCAGCCCTCCTCCTCCTCACTGCAGCTCTGGGTCAGTGCTGCAGCCCTCCTCCTCCTCACTGCAGACCCTGGGTCAGTGCAGCAGCCCTCCTCCTCCTCACTGCAGACCCTGGGTCAGTGCAGCAGCCCTCCTCCTCCTCACTGCAGACCCTGGGTCAGTGCAGCAGCCCTCCTCCTCCTCACTGCAGACCCTGGACCCAGAACTCTACCAAATCACACACAGATTGAATTGAATTGCATTAAAACTAGCGAGAGTTCTTTGGGAGGAGTTTAGAACATAAAACCTGCCCTTCCCTTGACTAAAAACATCATTTCTCAGCAGTTTATAAAAGACATCATGATTGACAGCTGCAAAATGGGAGAACATCAGAGACACTTACACACAAACACTGACTGGGCGGAGAAAATATCACTACACACTTTTCACACTTTTCAACAGCACTTACACAGGCTTTTAACAAGTTTACATCAGAATAATTATGAGCTCGTTTGAAATCACAGCATTACAATCCCGGGCAACGTCTGTGAGAAGGAAAGGCAGGTTTATCTGTATAGCACGGTTCATACACAAGACAACTCAAAGTGAAAGAAAGCATTAAAATCATAAATAATCACAGAACGTTAAAAAGAAAGATAAAAATATAAAATCCCTCAGTTGTAGCACAGTTAAACAGAACTGTCTTTAACCTGGTTTTAAACATTGTCAGAGAGGAGGCCTGTCTCACATCTTCAGGAAGACTGTTCCAGATTTTAGCAGCATGAATCTGAAAAGCAGCCTCCCCATGTTTAGTTCTGACTCTGGGCACTAACAGGAGTCCAGTCCCTGTGCTCCTCAGAGTCCCAGCAGGAGGCCAGTCCCTGTGCTCCTCAGAGTCCCAGCAGGAGGCCAGTCCCTGTGCTCCTCAGAGTCCCAACAGGAGGCCAGTCCCTGTGCTCCTCAGAGTCCCAGCAGGAGTCCACTCCCTGTGCTCCTCAGAGTCCCAGCAGGAGGCCAGTCCCTGTGCTCCTCAGAGTCCCAGCAGGAGTCCAGTCCCTGTGCTCCTCAGAGTCCCAGCAGGAGGCCAGTCCCTGTGCTCCTCAGACTCCCAGCAGGAGGCCAGTCCCTGTGCTCCTCAGAGTCCCAGCAGGAGGCCAGTCCCTGTGCTCCTCAGAGTCCCAGCAGGAGTCCAGTCCCTGTGCTCCTCAGAATCCCAGCAGGAGGCCAGTCCCTGTGCTCCTCAGAGTCCCAGCAGGAGGCCAGTCCCTGTGCTCCTCAGAGTCCCAGCAGGAGTCCAGTCCCTGTGCTCCTCAGAGTCCCAGCAGGAGTCCAGTCCCTGTGCTCCTCAGAGTCCCAGCAGGAGTCCAGTCCCTGTGCTCCTCAGAGTCCCAGCAGGAATCCAGTCCCTGTGCTCCTCAGAGTCCCAGCAGGAGTCCAGTCCCTGTGCTCCTCAGAGTCCCAGCAGGAATCCAGTCCCTGTGCTCCTCAGAGTCCCAGCAGGAGTCCAGTCCCTGTGCTCCTCAGAGTCCCAGCAGGAGTCCAGTCCCTGTGCTCCTCAGAGTCCCAGCAGGAGGCCAGTCCCTGTGCTCCTCAGAGTCCCAGCAGGAGGCCAGTCCCTGTGCTCCTCAGAGTCCCAGCAGGAGTCCAGTCCCTGTGCTCCTCAGAGTCCCAGCAGGAGGCCAGTCCCTGTGCTCCTCAGAATCCCAGCAGGAGGCCAGTCCCTGTGCTCCTCAGAGTCCCAGCAGGAGTCCAGTCCCTGTGCTCCTCAGAGTCCCAGCAGGAGGCCAGTCCCTGTGCTCCTCAGAGTCCCAGCAGGAGGCCAGTCCCTGTGCTCCTCAGAATCCCAGCAGAGGCTAGTCCCCTGTGCTCCTCAGAGTCCCAGCAGGAGGCCAGTCCCTGTGCTCCTCAGAGTCCCAGCAGGAGGCCAGTCCCTGTGCTCCTCAGAGTCCCAGCAGGAGGCCAGTCCCTGTGCTCCTCAGAGTCCCAGCAGGAGGCCAGTCCCTGTGCTCCTCAGAGTCCCAGCAGGAGGCCAGTCCCTGTGCTCCTCAGAGTCCCAGCAGGAGGCCAGTCCCTGTGCTCCTCAGAGTCCCAGTTCTATAACATCAGAGACAGTGCGACGGTCGAGATGTAAATGAGCTTTGGACGGACACACAAACAGGACACACCGGAACACGTAACATGTAACACATGTACTGACGACAACACACATGTACTGACGACAACACACATGTACTGACGACAACACACATGTACTGACGACAACACACATGTACTGACGACAACACACATGTACTGACGACAACACACATGTACTGACGACAACACACATGTACTGACGACAACACACATGTACTGACGACAACACACATGTACTGACTACAACACACATGTACTGACGACAACACACATGTACTGACTACAACACACATGTACTGACGACAACACATACATGTACTGACTACAACACACACATGTACTGACGACAACACACATGTACTGACGGCAACACACACATGTACTGACTACAACACACATGTACTGACGACAACACACACATGTACTGACGACAACACACACATGTACTGACGACAACACACACATGTACTGACGACAACACACATGTACTGACTACAACACACATGTACTGACGACAACACACATGTACTGACGACAACACACATGTACTGACGACAACACATACATGTACTGACTACAACACACACATGTACTGACGACAACACACATGTACTGACGGCAACACACACATGTACTGACTACAACACACATGTACTGACGGCAACACACATGTACTGACGACAACACACACATGTACTGACGGCAACACACATGTACTGACTACAACACACATGTACTGACGACAACACACATGTACTGACTACAACACACATGTACTGATGACAACACACATGTACTGACGACAACACACATGTAGTGACGACAACACACACATGTACTGACGACAACACACACATGTACTGACGACAACACACACATGTACTGACGACAACACACACATGTACTGACGACAACACACATGTACTGACAACAACACACATGTACTGACAACAACACACATGTACTGACAACAACACACATGTACTGACGACAACACACACATGTACTGACGGCAACACACACATGTACTGACGACAACACACATGTACTGACGACAACACACACATGTACTGACGACAACACACACATGTACTGACGACAACACACATGTACTGACAACAACACACATGTACTGACGACAACACACATGTACTGACGACAACACACATGTACTGACGACAACACACACATGTACTGACGACAACACACATGTACTGACGACAACACACATGTACTGACGACAACACACATGTACTGACGACAACACACATGTACTGACTACAACACACATGTACTGACGACAACACACATGTACTGACGACAACACACATGTACTGACGGCAACACACATGTACTGACGACAACACACATGTACTGACGGCAACACACATGTACTGACGACAACACACATGTACTGACGACAACACACATGTACTGACGACAACACACATGTACTGACGACAACACACATGTACTGACGACAACACACATGTACTGACGACAACACACATGTACTGACGACAACACACATGTACTGACTACAACACACATGTACTGACGACAACACACATGTACTGACTACAACACACATGTACTGACGACAACACATACATGTACTGACTACAACACACACATGTACTGACGACAACACACATGTACTGACGGCAACACACACATGTACTGACTACAACACACATGTACTGACGACAACACACACATGTACTGACGACAACACACACATGTACTGACGACAACACACACATGTACTGACGACAACACACATGTACTGACTACAACACACATGTACTGACGACAACACACATGTACTGACGACAACACACATGTACTGACGACAACACATACATGTACTGACTACAACACACACATGTACTGACGACAACACACATGTACTGACGGCAACACACACATGTACTGACTACAACACACATGTACTGACGGCAACACACATGTACTGACGACAACACACACATGTACTGACGGCAACACACATGTACTGACTACAACACACATGTACTGACGACAACACACATGTACTGACTACAACACACATGTACTGACGACAACACACATGTACTGACGGCAACACACATGTACTGACAACAACAGACATGTACTGACGACAACACACATGTACTGACTACAACACACATGTACTGACGACAACACACATGTACTGACGACAACACACATGTAGTGACGACAACACACACATGTACTGACGACAACACACACATGTACTGACGACAACACACACATGTACTGACGACAACACACACATGTACTGACGACAACACACATGTACTGACAACAACACACATGTACTGACAACAACACACATGTACTGACAACAACACACATGTACTGACGACAACACACACATGTACTGACGGCAAACACACACATGTACTGACGACAACACACATGTACTGACGACAACACACACATGTACTGACGACAACACACACATGTACTGACGACAACACACATGTACTGACGACAACACACATGTACTGACGACAACACACATGTACTGACGACAACACACATGTACTGACGACAACACACATGTACTGACGACAACACACATGTACTGACGACAACACACATGTACTGACGACAACACACATGTACTGACGACAACACACATGTACTGACGACAACACACATGTACTGACTACAACACACATGTACTGACGACAACACACATGTACTGACTACAACACACATGTACTGACGACAACACATACATGTACTGACTACAACACACACATGTACTGACGACAACACACATGTACTGACGGCAACACACACATGTACTGACTACAACACACATGTACTGACGACAACACACACATGTACTGACGACAACACACACATGTACTGACGACAACACACACATGTACTGACGACAACACACATGTACTGACGACAACACACATGTACTGACGACAACACACATGTACTGACGACAACACACATGTACTGACGACAACACACACATGTACTGACGACAACACACATGTACTGACGACAACACACATGTACTGACCACAACACACATGTACTGACGACAACACACATGTACTGACCGCAACACACATGTACTGATGGCAACGCACATGTACTGATGACAACACACATGTACTGACGGCAACACACATGTAATGACGGCAACACACGCATGTACTGACGGCAACACACACATGTACTGACAACAACACACATGTACTGACGGCAACACACATGTACTGACCGCAACACACATGTACTGACAACAACACACATGTACTGACGGCAACACACATGTACTGACCGCAACACACATGTACTGATGGCAACGCACATGTACTGATGACAACACACATGTACTGACGACAACACACATGTACTAACGACAACACACATGTACTGACGACAACACACATGTACTGACGACAACCTGCATGTACTGACGACAACACACATGTACTGACGACAACACACATGTACTGACGACAACACACATGTACTGACGACAACACACATGTACTGACGGCAACACACACATGTACTGACGACAACACACACATGTACTGACGACAACACACACATGTACTGACGACAACACACACATGTACTGACGACAACACACACATGTACTGACGACAACACACACATGTACTGACGACAACACACATGTACTGACAACAACACACATGTACTGACGGCAACACACACATGTACTGACGACAACACACATGTACTGACAACAACACACATGTACTGACAACAACACACATGTACTGACGGCAACACACACATGTACTGACGACAACACACATGTACTGACAACAACACACATGTACTGACAACAACACACATGTACTGACGACAACACACATGTACTGACGGCAACACACATGTACTGACGGCAACACACACATGTACTGACAACAACACACATGTACTGACGGCAACACACACATGTACTGACGACAACACACATGTACTGACAACAACACACACATGTACTGACTACAACACACATGTACTGACGACAACACACACATGTACTGACTACAACACACATGTACTGACGACAACACACATGTACTGACGACAACACACATGTACTGACAACAACACACATGTACTGACAACAACACACATGTACTGACAACAACACACATGTACTGATGGCAACACACATGTACTGACGGCAACACACATGTACTGACGGCAACACACACATGTACTGACGACAACACGCAGCAGTGTCTCCTCCTGGGACCATGGGGGTCTCACCTGGTCCTGGTCCGGGTCTGAACCAGCGGGTGACAAATGATGTCATAAAAGCAATCAATGCCATTTATTTATGTACCGCCCTAAATCACAACAGTAGTTATCACAGAGGACTTTACAAAACTGAGGAATGCCCAGGACTGAGGCTGTAGACCCAGGACTGAGGCTGTAGACCCAGGACTGAGGCTGTAGATCCAGGACTGAGGCTGTAGATCCAGGACTGAGGCTGTAGACCCAGGACTGATGCTGTAGATCCAGGACTGAGGCTGTAGACCCAGGACTGAGGCTGTAGACCCAGGACTGATGCTGTAGATCCAGGACTGAGGCTGTAGACCCAGGACTGAGGCTGTAGACCCAGGACTGAGACTGTAGACCCAGGACTGAGGCTGTAGACCCAGGACTGAGGCTGTAGACCCAGGACTGAGGCTGTAGACCCAGGACTGAGGCTGTAGACCCAGGACTGAGGCTGTAGATCCAGGACTGAGGCTGTAGATCCAGGACTGAGGCTGTAGATGCAGGACTGAGGTTTTAGACCCAGGACTAAGGCTGTAGACCCAGGACTGAGGCTGTTGACCCAGGACTGAGGCTGTAGACCCAGGACTGAGGCTGTAGACCCAGGACTGAGGCTGTAGATCCAGGACTGAGGCTGTAGACCCAGGACTGAGGCTGTAGACCCAGGACTGATGCTGTAGACCCAGGACTGAGGCTGTAGACCCAGGACTGAGGCTGTAGACCCAGGACTGAGGCTGTAGACCCAGGACTGAGGCTGTAGACCCAGGACTGAGGCTGTAGACCCAGGACTGAGGCTGTAGACCCAGGACTGAGGCTGTAGACCCAGGACTGAGGCTGTAGACCCAGGACTGAGGCTGTAGACCCAGGACTGAGGCTGTAGACCCAGGACTGAGGCTGTAGACCCAGGACTGAGGCTGTAGACCCAGGACTGAGGCTGTAGATCCAGGACTGAGGCTGTGGATGCAGGACTGAGGTTTTAGACCCAGGACTAAGGCTGTAGACCCAGGACTGAGGCTGTAGACCCAGGACTGAGGCTGTAGACCCAGGACTGAGGCTGTAGATCCAGGACTGAGGCTGTAGATCCAGGACTGAGGCTGTAGATGCAGGACTGAGGTTTTAGACCCAGGACTGAGGCTGTAGACCCAGGACTGAGGCTGTTGACCCAGGACTGAGGCTCTAGACCCAGGACTGAGGCTGTAGATCCAGGACTGAGGCTGTAGACCCAGGACTGAGGCTGTAGACCCAGGACTGAGGCTGTAGATCCAGGACTGAGGCTGTAGACCCAGGACTGAGGCTGTAGACCCAGGACTGAGGCTGTAGACCCAGGACTGAGGCTGTAGACCCAGGACTGAGGCTGTAGATCCAGGGCTGAGGCTGTAGACCCAGGACTGAGGCTGTAGACCCAGGACTGAGGCTGTAGACCCAGGACTGAGGCTGTAGACCCAGGACTGAGGCTGTAGACCCAGGTTATGACAGTTTTTTTTGTATGGACAGATGTGTGCGATGAGGCTGTTCATGTGTGTGTTCATAAATGACTGCTACACAACATTGAGCTGCACAGTAAAAATAAAGGTGTTTCAGAATCTCTTGCGTGTGCGTTTGTGAAGGACAGATGTGCGACAATTGTTGTGTTGTTGTTGTGTAGCGTTTTGTTTAATTGATTCTTAGTCCGTGGGTTTCTCTAGACGTCAGTTCTTGCTCTTGATGTCTCCGCCTCATTGTGCGAGCGTGTGGGGGCTGTGCGTCTGTGTGCGTAGGTGTGTGTGTGTCTGTATACGTGTGTGTGCGCGAGAGAGTGGGTGTGTGTGTGTATGTCTGAATACATTTGTGTGTACGTGAATGAGTAGGCATGAGAGTGAGTGTAGGTGTGTGTGTGTCTGTATACGGTTGTGTGTGCCTGTGTGAGTGGGCTTGTGTGTGTGGGTGGGTGCGTAGGTGTGTGTGTCTACATAAATTTGTGTGGGCTTGTGTGTGTCCGTATACGTGTGTGTGCATGAGAGAGTGGGTGTGTTTTTTTTGTGTGTCTTAATACATTTGTGTGTACGTGAATGAGTGGGCATGAGAGTGTGTGTGTCTCTGTATATGTGTGTCCCTGTGTGTGTGTGTCTCTGTGTGTGTGCGTGTGTGTGTGTATGTCCCTGTGTGTGTGTTTCTGTGTGTGTGTGTCTGTGTGTGTGTCTCTGTATATGTGTGTCCCTGTGTGTGTGTGTGTCTGTGTGTCTCTGTGTGTGTGCGTGTGTGTGTGTATGTCCCTGTGTGTGTGTTTCTGTGTGTGTGTGTCTCTGTGTGTGTGTGTGTGTCTCTGTATATGTGTGTCCCTGTGTGTGTGTGTGTCTGTGTGTCTCTGTGTGTGTGCGTGTGTGTGTGTATGTCCCTGTGTGTGTGTTTCTGTGTGTGTTGTGTGTGTGTGTCTCTGTGTGTTGTGTGTGTGTGTATGTCCCTGTGTGTGTTGTGTGTGTGTGTGTGTCTCTGTGTGTGTGTGTCTCTGTGTGTTGTGTGTGTGTGTCTCTGTGTGTTGTGTGTGCGTGTGCGTGTGTGTGTGTATGTCCCTGTGTGTGTGTTTGTGTGTGTGTGTGTCTCTGTGTGTTGTGTGTGTGTGTGTGTGTGTGTTGTGTGTGTGTGTGTGTGTGTGTTGTGTGTGTTGTGTGTGTGTCTCTGTGTGTTGTGTGTGTGTGTGTCTCTGTGTGTTGTGTGTGTGTGTGTTGTGTGTGTGTGTGTGTGTTGTGCGTGTGTCTGTGTGTTGTGTGTGTGTGTGTGTGTTGCCGGGAGCTGCCTGTATTCTCTGTTACTATAAATACAGCGATGATAGAATTGCATAATGGCTCAGTGTGACGTCACCGCTGTTCTTCCCACGGAAACAAGTGACGGAGGAGAGGAGGGGGAGGGAGGGGGAGGAGAGGAGAGGGGGAGGAGAGGAGAGCCGGGAGGGGGAGGGGAGGGGGAGGAGAGGGCGAGGGAGGGGTCTGCACTGCTGGGGGGGGGGGGAGGGAAAGCCTTGAGTGTTTCTAAATGGAGAAAGAGAAGAATCCTCTGACAGAGCGACCCCAGTGTTTCCGTTTGGACCTGTCTCTGGTCGAGTCCAACAGAACCAGTGCAGCCAGAGCAGAACCAGTTAGAACCAGTTAGAAACCAGTGTCCATGATGCAAATGTGTATTCATGGTTGGAACACTGTAAAAATGAACGATAGGCGGTTGATAAGCGGTTGCTCTATATACCAGTCAGCACCAGGTGAACAGAGTCAGCACCAGGAGAACAGAGTCAGCACCAGGAGAACGGAGTCAGCACCAGGAGAACGGAGTCAGCACCAGGAGAACGGAGTCAGCACCAGGAGAACAGAGTCAGCACCAGGAGAACGGAGTCAGCACCAGGAGAACAGAGTCAGCACCAGGAGAACAGAGTCAGCACCAGGAGAACAGAGTCAGTACCAGGAGAACAGAGTCAGCACCAGGAGAACGGAGTCAGCACCAGGAGAACGGAGTCAGCACCAGGAGAACAGAGTCAGCACCAGGAGAACAGAGTCAGCACCAGGAGAACGGAGTCAGCACCAGGAGAACGGAGTCAGCACCATGAGAACGGAGTCAGCACCAGGAGAACAGAGTCAGTACCAGGAGAACAGAGTCAGCACCAGGAGAACAGAGTCAGCACCAGGAGAACAGAGTCAGCACCAGGAGAACGGAGTCAGCACCAGGAGAACAGAGTCAGCACCAGGAGAACGGAGTCAGCACCAGGAGAACGGAGTCAGCACCAGGAGAACAGAGTCAGCACCAGGAGAACAGAGTCAGCACCAGGAGAACAGAGTCAGCACCAGGAGAACAGAGTCAGCACCAGGAGAACAGAGTCAGCACCAGGAGAACAGAGTCAGCACCAGGAGAACTGAGTCAGCACCAGGAGAACAGAGTCAGCACCAGGAGAACAGAGTCAGTACCAGGAGAACAGAGTCAGCACCAGGAGAACGGAGTCAGCACCAGGAGAACAGAGAGCACCAGGAGAACAGAGAGCACCAGGAGAACAGAGAGCACCAGGAGAACAGAGTCAGCACCAGGAGAACAGAGTCAGCACCAGGAGAACAGAGTCAGCACCAGGAGAACAGAGTCAGCACCAGGAGAACAGAGAGCACCAGGAGAACAGAGTCAGCACCAGGAGAACAGAGTCAGCACCAGGAGAACAGAGTCAGCACCAGGAGAACAGAGTCAGCACCAGGAGAACGGAGTCAGCACCAGGAGAACAGAGTCAGCACCAGGAGAACAGAGTCAGCACCAGGAGAACAGAGTCAGCACCAGGAGAACACACGGAGCATCCACACGATCCTGGGACTTGTTGTTGTTTTGTTTTGTGTAATTTTGACATATTTGTGTTGGAAACATGAGTCAGACTCGAGGCGTGAGCGAGACCCGATCTCGTGCTGCTGTCACGGGGACACGTGGCGCCGGGTCGAGGCCTGAGAACACATGATGTTCTGCTGCTTATGCTGATGGACGAGACACGGATCTGAGACGCACGAGGCGGTGGAAGGTCACCGTGTTACAGAGCTGAGCGTTCGAGCAAAACATTATTTAGTGATCAGAAAAAATGATGATGAGAATTATCAACATGGACTTTGGTTTATTATTTATTTATTTAAACTGGACATAACAATAACATTGGACGAACCAGATGCACTGCTGTGAGTGTGAATGCACAACACATTACATTACAGAAGATAAAATACATTTAAAAGACAATACAGTTTACACGTGAGAACAAGTCTGTCTGGATCTTAACCACTGTTTGAGCTCTCTGCTGAAGATGATCGTGTTAGTCTTAGTCCGGCGGGGGGAGGGTTCCACAGTTTAACCCCGCTAAAGGAGAAGCTGAAAGATGCTCTGATACAAAATTATAACTATAAAAACTGCTCTCAAAGTCTGGCTCCATACGTAGTTTACAGACTCATGGATTCTTTGACCTTTCAGACAGAAAAGGGAACAGGAGAAGACCCCCCCCCCATCGCTGAGACAAAGATCAAATGTTTTCTATCAGATAAATATGTTGTGGTCACATTTGTTGTTGGACATAAAAACATATTTTTTTTCAAGATTTTTCTGTTGGAACAAATAAATGAGATAAGTGTGGTCCGTTCCCTCAGAGAGCAGCAGGAGCCACAGAGCTCTGTTGTTGTGTGACACCCACAGAGTAAGATCCTGGTGTGTAAAGTGTTGCTGGTGTCGGCCAAACCAGATCATCCTGACCACTAGATGGTGCTATGCTGAATACAGATTTAAACCAAAACATTGATCGACAACAGACAAAAGACTCAATATTTGGTACAGAAACAAGAGCTTCTTAATGAAGAACAAACAGGTCTGTGGGAGCCTAAAGTGTTACTGGTCGACAAGCGGTCGATAGGCGGTCGTTAAGCGGTCGATAAGCGGGCCATAGGCGGTCGATAGGCGGTCGATAAGCGGTCGATAAGCGGGCCATAGGCGGTCGATAGGCGGTCGATAAGCGGTCGATAGGCGGGCGATAAGCGGTCGATAGGCGGTCGTTAAGCGGTCAATAGGCGGTCGATAAGCGGTCGATAAGCGGGCGATAGGCGGTCGATAGGCGGTTGATAAGCGATCGATAAGCGGTCGATAAGCAGTCGATAAGCGGGCGATAGGCGGTCGATAGGCGGTTGATAAGCGGTCGATAAGCGGTCGATAGGCGGTCGATAGGCGGTTGATAAGCGGTCGATAAGCGGGCGATAGGCGGTCGATAGGCGGTTGATAAGCGGTCGATAAGCGGGCGATAGGCGGTCGATAAGCGGGCGATAAGCAGTCGATAAGCGGTCGATAGGCGGTTGATAAGCGGTCGATAAGCGGGCGATAGGCGGTCGATAGGCGGTCAATAAGCGGTCGATAGGCGGTCGTTAAGCGGTCGTTAAGCGGTCGATAGGCGGTCGTTAAGCGGTCGATAGGCGGTCGATAAGCGGTCGATAAGCGGGCGATAGGCGGTCGATAGGCGGTTGATAAGCGGTCGATAAGCAGTCGATAAGCAGTCGATAAGCGGTCGATAGGCGGTCGATAAGCGGTCGATAAGCGGTCGATAAGCGGTCGATAAGCGGTCGATAGGCGGTCAATAAGCGGGCGATAAGCAGTCGATAAGCGGTCGATAGGCGGTTGATAAGCGGTCGATAAGCGGGCGATAGGCGGTCGATAGGCGGTCAATAAGCGGTCGATAGGCGGTCGTTAAGCGGTCGTTAAGCGGTCGATAGGCGGTCGTTAAGCGGTCGATAGGCGGTCGTTAAGCGGTCGATAGGCGGTCGATAAGCGGTCGATAAGCGGTCGATAGGCGGTCGTTAAGCGGTCGATAGGCAATCGATAGGCGGGCGATAGGCGGTCGATAAGCAGTCGATAAGCGGTCGATAAGCAGTCGATAAGCGGTCGATAGGCGGTCGATAAGCGGTCGATAAGCGGTCGATAGGCGGTCGATAAGCGGGCGATAGGCGGGCGATAGGCGGTCGATAGGCGGTCGATAAGCAGTCGATAAGCGGTCGATAAGCAGTCGATAAGCGGTCGATAAGCGGTCGATAAGCGGTCGATAAGCGGTCGATAAGCGGTCAATAGGCGGTCAATAAGCGGGCGATAGGCGGTCGATAGGCGGTCGATAGGCGGTCGATAGGCGGTCGATAGGCGGTCGATAAGCGGTCGATAGGCGGTTGAAAGACGGTTGACAGACTGTACCCATCTCAGCCTTGTGCAGGTCTATTCTGAGCCTATGACAACAATTCAAAAACATAGTGGAAGTATATATTCCTAAAACAAGTTTACATGTTTTTTTTTCATTTTGAGCAAATGTAAAAATTACTCGGAGTACCTTTAAATAGACGACTCAAAAAGTGACCTACCAAATGTCTGAGAAAACCATTAAAGGGTTGAAGAAGAATTAACAGGTCTGTGGGAGTCTAAATTGTTACTGGTGGATACACGATCAAACACTTAAAGCTGTGAATTTGGCCCTCACAGTTAAAGAATACCCTTGATACCAAAGACAGACCTCTACATATGAAATAAAACCAATCTGATGGATGCAGAGGGAGTGTGTGTCTAGACCTGGGAACGCCGTGGGAACGCCGTGGGACCGCCGTGGGAACGCCGTGGAGAGGGAAGTCTGGGCGTTTCTGCTCAAACTGCCGAGTCCCGGAACTGGCCTCAGATGAATCAAAGAGATGGATAAAAACAGGTCTAAAACAGGATTCGGAGCTGCCAGGGCTGTGTTGTTGGCGGACTGCGGTGAGTGTGTGTAATTCAGAACGCCAGGCGACCGGCGCTGGCAGCTGCGTCCAAACATAGAGCCTGTAAAGTGTGCGCTCGGCCCAAACCCAACATAAACACGACTTTACCGTAGAACCATAACGGCCGACGAGAAACAGCTATAATCAGGCTCTCACTTTGTTCTTTTATAGCTGTGAGTTTAGTTTCGGCAGCTGATGAGGTGGGGGTTTTATGAGTAATGTTCATAGTAAAACAGTTGGACCCATCGCTTCGTTTACTTTAGAATGTTCTGGAAACGGCAGCGACTCCTAAGTCTCTCTGGAACAGTTGTTTAGTGTTTTACAATTGTCATTTTTCCTGCTTTATTCTGCCTGAGATGTTGCTGCAGTTCAGTGTTCATGGTTTTACACTGGTCCAGACTGGCCCTTTAATGATGACAGATTAGGGCCCTTTAATGATGACAGATTAGGGCCCTTTAATGATGACAGATTAGGTCCCTTTAATGATGACAGATTAGGGCCCTTTAATGATGACAGATTAGGGCCCTTTAATGATGACAGATTAGGGCCCTTTAATGATGACGGATTAGGGCCCTTTAATGATGACAGATTAGGTCCCTTTAATGATGACAGATTAGGGCCCTTTAATGATGACAGATTGGGCCCTTTAATGACGACAGATTAGGGCCCTTTAATGAGGACAGATTAGGGCCCTTTAATGATGACAGATTAGGGCCCTTTAATGAGGACAGATTAGGGCCCTTTAATGATGACAGATTAGGGCCCTTTAATGATGACAGATAAGGGCCCTTTAACGATGACAGATTAGGGCCCTTTAATGACGACAGATTAGGGCCCGTTAATGAGGACAGGTTAGGGCCCTTTAATTATAACAGATTAGGGCCCTTTAATGATGACAGATAAGGGCCCTTTAATGACAGATTAGGGCCCTTTAATGATGACAGATTAGGGCCCTTTAATGACGACAGATTAGGGCCCTTTAATGAGGACAGGTTAGGGCCCTTTAATGATAACAGATTAGGGCCCTTTAATGATGACAGATTAGGGCCCTTTAATGATGACAGATTAGCGCCCTTTAATGATGACAGATTAGGTCCCTTTAATGATGGCAGATTGGGCCCTTTAATGACGACAGATTAGGGCCCTTTAATGAGGACAGATTAGGGCCCTTTAATGATGACAGATTAGGGCCCTTTAATGATGACAGATAAGGGCCCTTTAATGACAGATTAGGGCCCTTTAATGATGACAGATTAGGGCCTTTTAATTATGACAGATTAGGGCCCTTTAATGATGACAGATTAGGTCCCTTTAATGATGGCAGATTGGGCCCTTTAATGACGACAGATTAGGTCCCTTTAATGAGGACAGATTAGGGCCCTTTAATGATGACAGATTAGGGCACTTTAATGATGACAGATTAGGGCCCTTTAATGATGACGGATTAGGTCCCTTTAATGATGACAGATTAGGGCCCTTTAATGATGACAGATTGGGCCCTTTAATGACGACAGATTAGGGCCCTTTAATAATGACAGATAAGGGCCCTTTAATGATGACAGATTAGGGCCCTTTAATGATGACAGATTGGGCCCTTTAATGACGACAGATTAGGACCCTTTAATGAGGACAGATTAGGGCCCTTTAATGATGACGGATTAGGGCCCTTTAATGATGACGGATTAGGGCCCTTTAATGATGACAGATTAGGGCCCTTTAAGGATGACTTGACACAAAAATCTTACATATTGCTACTGTATTTTGAGACATTAATAGACCATTTGAGGATATTCGGGCACAGAAGTATTTTCTTGTTGTTCAAGTTATGGTGATGTTAAGTCCTGTCAGGAGTTTAGACGGATGCTGCTGTCTCCGTGAGAGTCGGTAGAACTGCCTCGACTCATACTGTCTCTTCCCTCGTCCCAAGGGGGAGTGGGTGGGGGCGGGTAGGAGAGGGGAGGTGGGAGTGGGTGGAGCTGTGGGGGGTGGGTGGAGCTGTGGGGGGTGGGTGGAGCTGTGGGGGGACTGGACATAATGTACCCGTGTCGTGTTTTCTTGGTCCACATCCAAGAAAGAGCTCTGCCTTTTTAACCCGAGCCTCCAGCCTGGCCTTGGAGCCAAATATGCAGTGTGCCCAGGCCAACCCAGGCCAACCCAGACCAATCCAGGCTCAGAGTGTTGTCCCAGTCTGGAGTTTCACAGCACCTTAATAGTGTCTGCTCAGGTGGTAGAACACCGGCACGTGTGATGGGAGACCGCGGTGATAGCAGGGGCCATGTGTGATGGGAGACCGCGGTGATAGCAGGGGCCATGTGTGATGGGAGACCGCGGTGGAAAAAGGTTTAACAGTTTTATGTCCTTGAGCAAGACACTTTTTCATGTTAGATTTGACGTATTTCATTTTCTCTGTGAACTCCTCTGTATAGAATTAAAGACATGAATGGACGTCCCTGGCCATGTTTTTGCTGAGTACTTTTTGACGTCCATGAGCAGATATTTATTTGTTTTCCTCTCGCACGAATGATGCTCGACTGATTTGTTTTTAAGTTTTATTTGAGAGTAACAAAAACAATCACTAGTAAACTCATTACAGCCACCGATATTATGATTGATTTGATTTTGCTCCAGCGCCAATAATGTTTTTACACCGCAGCGCCAGTATTTAAGCCTGAGACCAAATCATGTGTCAATCTGCGACACTGTGTGAAAGTTAGACAGGTATTTTAGACCCGTGTCGGCTTTTCACCGCAGGGAAAACTGGAACGAGTCAAAATAAAGACTCTAAACAAACGTCAGACTTTCAAAATGAGCTTTCTAAATGTGTCTAAAGTCTCGGTCTCGTCCCAGGACCAGAGGGGACTGCGTTGTCATGGACTATGGCAAGTTCTTTCTACACAACCTGCACCTTTTTGTCCCTTTTGTATTTTAAAAACCTCCTTTGCCGCACCCACACTAAAGCCATTCCTTATAAAAGAGACGAAGAGATTCCCAGAGTTTGCCGGGAAATCAAAAAACTATAAACAGGTTTGGGTAGATCAGAAGGAAAAGAATGAGTGTGGTGGGAGGGGCCGATGGCACAGACTGGTTGCCTCGCTTCTCTCAGTGTGCCCCAGGGCAGCTGTGGCTACAATAGTGGTTTATCACCACCGGGTATAGAGTGAAGCGTCTTTGAGCGTCCTGAAAAGCTCTACATAAAACACATTATTATTATTATTAAAAATGAAAATAGTAAAAGATTTATTTCCGTTACCGTTAATAACCTGGATATTCTGTGTGTGTTACGTAAAATTTATCAAAGGTTAATTTCACCTGAACGTCTTATTGGTCTAAACGTGACAACAAAACATCAGCAGCGTGGGCGCAATGAGCCATCGGTAAAAACGACCGGAAAACTGATTAATAACAATAGTTTTTTTTTTAAAGCGTATAATATCCAGAAATAGGGTGTTGTGGCTGAAGCTGATGCAGAAGTGATGTCACACGGTGAAAGCTGAGAGGGGCTCGACAACCGCTCCACAAATAGAAATGTGTTTATGGCCAAGACGCCAATTAGTCTAAAAACAGCTGCGGAACCGAGTCTGCAGCCTCAAACAGGTGTGGGCCGGACTTAAAGGCACCGGACTGAGGAGGCAGGAGTGAAAACACAGACCTGACGATTGTATACATGTATGTTAGCGTTACTATGGCAACAACACAAGCATTTCCATTGTGTTTTTGCAGCTGTGTGTACATGAATCCTGTTCAGTTTTTATTGTTGTGTGTTTTTCATGATGTCATTGTGTGTGTTTGTATATGAATGTGTCTGTGTGCGGGCGTGTGTCTCTGTGTGTGTGTACATATGTGCGTGTGTGTCTGTATATGTGTGCGCGGGTGTGTGTCTCTGTGTGTGTGTGTCTGTATATGTGTCCGTGTGCGCGGGTGTGTGTCTCTGTGTGTGTGTGTCTGTGTGCGGGTGTGTGTCTCTGTGTGTGTGTCTCTGTGTGTGTATGTATGTGTGTGTAGCGTGTGTGTGTCTGTATGTGTGTATGTATGATTACAGGATGTCCTTTGACAGTTCCACCAATCACAGTCAGCCTCATGTCTCATTGGTGGAGGCCGAGAACAAACCTGTGATAAAACTAATCTGTTATAGTTCCATTGTTGTCAAAGTTACAGTCCCCAGCTTTAATCAGATTTAGTTTCATTCATCTCCCTCTGACTCCAGAGGGTCCTGCTGATCTCTGACACTCGTTACATAAGAAGAAGAAGAAGAAGAAGAAAAGGGCAGTGGAGCAGCTGGATTACATAAGTCAGTAGCACAAGCAGCAGTAGCAGTAGCAGCAGTAGCAGTAGTAGCAGTAGCAGTAGCAGCAGTAGCAGTAGTAGCAGTAGCAGCAGCAGCAGTAGCAGCAGCAGTAGCAGCAGCAGTAGCAGCAGCAGTAGCAGCAGCAGCAGTAGCAGCAGTAGCAGTAGTAGCAGCAGCAGTAGCAGCAGTAGCAGTAGTAGCAGTTGTAGCAGCAGTAGCAGTAGCAGCAGCAGCAGTAGCAGCAGCAGCAGTAGCAGCAGTAGCAGTAGTAGCAGTTGTAGCAGCAGTAGCAGTAGCAGCAGCAGCCGCAGCAGTAGCAGCAGTAGTAGCAGTAGCAGCAGCCACAGCAGTAGCAGCAGTAGTAGCAGCAGTAGCAGTAGCAGTAGTAGTAGCAGCAGTAGTAGCAGCAGGGGGTGGAGCAGCAGGGATTGGGGTCATGACAGTTGACTGATTAACACAGACATCAGTCGAACCCAGAACCCGCTGCTGTTTCTTTCGGCTTAAAATAGATGTGAACAAAGTGTCCTCAGAGGAACAGGACACACGTGACTTTAACATACTATGAACACGTGACAGAGCTGCTTCACCGACACTAACATGTCACAGACTATGGACCATGGACTATGGACTATGGACCATGGACTATGGACTATGGACTATGGACTATGGACCATGGACCATGGACCATGGACCATGGACCATGGACCATGGACTATGGACCATGGACCATGGAGAGACTTAAACAGAGCGAGTCTGTTCTGAGGTGTGAAGAAAATGATTATAGTTCAAAGTAAAGAAGGTGAGAGCTGCAGAGGGTCCGAGTGCAGAGGGTCCCAGTGCAGAGGGTCCCAGTGCAGAGGGTCCCAATGCCAGAGGGTCCGAGTGCAGAGGGTCCCAGTGCAGAGGGTCCCAGTGCAGAGGGTCCGAGTGCAGAGGGTCCCAGTGCAGAGGGTCCCAATGCAGAGGGTCTGAGTGCAGAGGGTCCCAGTGCAGAGGGTCCCAGTGCAGAGGGTCCGAGTGCAGAGGGTCCGAGTGCAGAGGGTCCCAGTGCAGAGGGTCCGAGTGCAGAGGGTCCCAGTGCAGAGGGTCCCAGTGCAGAGGGTCCGAGTGCAGAGGGTCCCAGTGCAGAGGGTCCCAGTGCAGAGGGTCCCAGTGCAGAGGGTCCGAGTGCAGAGGGTCCCAGTGCAGAGGGTCCCAGTGCAGAGGGTCCCAGTGCAGAGGGTCCGAGTGCAGAGGGTCCCAGTGCAGAGGGTCCCAGTGCAGAGGGTCCCAGTGCAGAGGGTCCCAGTGCAGAGGGTCCGAGTGCAGAGGGTCCCAGTGCAGAGGGTCTCAGTGCAGAGGGTCCCAGTGCAGAGGGTCCCAGTGCAGAGGGTCCCAGTGCAGAGGGTCCCAGTGCAGAGGGTCCGAGTGCAGAGGGTCCGAGTGCAGAGGGTCCGAGTGCAGAGGGTCCCAGTGCAGAGGGTCCCAGTGCAGAGGGTCCCAGTGCAGAGGGTCCGAGTGCAGAGGGTCCGAGTGCAGAGGGTCCGAGTGCAGAGGGTCCCAGTGCAGAGGGTCCGAGTGCAGAGCGACTGACAAACACGTCGACGGTTCATTTCAACAAAGGACTTTATATATTTTGACCTTTTGATCACCACCAGCCCTGGTCTTATCCATCCGTACTCTCGGGTCTGGTCCCTGTGTTTGGGATTACAATCGGTTGAATTCCATCTGACCAATCAGAGAGCGCGGGAGGCGGGTGTTTAGATGTGGGTGAGGTCAAGAGTTTGCGTCGAACGGGAAGGTTGTAGTTTGGTGAAGAATGCGATAGTAAAGTATTCTGGTCTGGTTCTGTCAAGAAACTGAAGCCGGAGCAAGAGGAATGTTTAGCAAATGTAATCTCCGGAAAAGATTGTGGCGCTACTCCCCACGGGCTCTGTTAGCGGCAAAGGAGATGGCTAAAGCTAGGCTAAATGCTAAAGCTCGGCTAAATGCTAAATGCTAACGACTCACTCGGGCTCATTACATACGTCACAGTAAACTGAGATCCAATCGTTTCAATCTGCAAAAGGAGTTAACCCCTCCCACCTGTTCACGGAGTCAGTGTAGCACCTCCAGACCTCAGTACAAAAGGAAATGAGTACTATGGTGTGGTACGACCAGGCTAAGTCACCACACCAAGAGTCAAAAACATCTTGTATCTGCTGAAAGTATTATAGTGTTTAACAACGTATGCAAAGTTTTATAACCCACCGTAAGGAGAGGCAGCATTTCAGATGTATGCGGCTCCGATCTGGAACAGTCTTCCTGAAAATGTGAGACAGGCTTCTTATCTGACAATGTATAAAAAAACAGGTTCAAAACAAGTCTGTTTAGCTGCAACAAGGGATTGTATGTTCACTCTTTTTAATATCCCGTGATTATTTACAATGCCGTGTGTGAGTGACCGTGACCACCGAAGGCCTTTCGCGAATCTCTCCAAACCTCTTGGATCGGGCCTGACCTTCCCCTCGGGCCCCTCAGATCCAGTGGCCTTACGTAAGCAGGGGCCGGTGCTAGTGTTACCGTCCCATCAGCGTTAAACAAAGCACAGAAATGAAATATTCAGCAGTGGAGCGCCCAGCTGTCACTTTGGCCAAAATAAAACCCACGCTGGCTGCACTTTCTCCAGGGTTTAGTTGGAAAAAAGCTGAGTTGGCGCCACACTAGAATAGTCCGTCAGCGTGTGTCAGAGAGAGTGTGTGTCTGTGTGTGTGTGTGTGTGTGTGTGTTTCATTACATAATCGTTAGCGGTGGAGCGGAAATGCAGACTGAGATCGCCGCGCTGAGGGCCGGTAACGGGAGATGTTTGTAAACAAGCCCAAGCAGCATTTTGTTCCCCTCCTCCCTCAAACGCAGAATGAAAGCTTTATCTGACACCGGACCCTCGAGCGAATGTGACAAACTAACGGTGTAACAACTTGTAATGATAACGTAACGGAATGACGCAGCTGTCTGGAGCGACGGCCGGGTCTCCATGTGGGGAGGCCGCATCGCACTCTCGGCTCTAGCCACAAAATACGGCACTAATAAATATATTGTGGTCAAAAGAAAAAGAAAAAGATGATTTGATGAAGGCATGAAGCTGAAAAGTCTTGGATAAATAAAACATTTGGACATCAGGGGCGACAGTAGCTCAGTTGGTAGAGCATTGGCCTTAAGGCCAGCAGGTTGTGGGTTCAATTCCCACCTCTGCACCTTCTCCACCGACTCCCACTGATGACTGCTGTCGTTGTGTCCTTGGGCAAGACACTTAACCCCACTTTGCCCAAAGCCCCCACTGAAAGATCAAGGCTATGCTCACACTCAGAGAGCAGCCGTCCTCCTGTGGACTCACCACCTGCAGAGGGTCAGTGAGGGGCTGGTGCTATGAGACTTGGGTGGCATCTCTGACTGCCACCCCCCTGACCCAGAAATGGATTAAAGGGTAGAAAATGGATGGAAATGGATGGATGGACATCTGGGCTGAGTGTGCGATGCTACCCTGTTTTCTGAAATATACAATACAATACAATACAATTTATTCTTGTATATCCCTAGGTCACAACAGAAATCATCTCAGAGACTTAACAAAACCATTGAAATCACCAACACAGGTCAGAGAATCAACAGTTAAAACACATGAAGAATATAAAGCACACACAGAAGAAAATGTCCATACATGTTGTAGAATGCTAAAGTGTCCTGATCATCACCAATCCTTTCTGTTGGACACTAACTGTCCAACAAGACCCTCCTGCATCGACAAGGAACAACTCTTAAAAAACCCAGTGGGAAAAAGTGAGAAACCTTGGGGAGAACTAGGGAAACCCACAGGGAGGGAGACCCATTTGAGAAAGGGATCCGCTCCTCCGAACGGACAGGCTAATGATCCAGGACCTAAGCTACAGAACGTGGACCAGTGGCCGCTGAACGTGGACAGGTGCAGGACTGAAGCACTCCCAGGCGGGTCGGGCGGGGCAGTCCGCAGGTGTAGATGGAGGAGGCCAGGCTCAGAGATCCCGTCATCGTACCATGAAACAGACAATGGGACAACGGGTGAATAGCAATGAACAAACTACAGTCAAAATCCTAAAAATGCTAAACAGATAGAAATATTGATTCTTTAATACATGTTTTTTGGTTTAAAAGAATGCAGCAAGGACCAAAATAATCTCATTCATAAAAGGAGTTATAGGGAAGTTTGTGTAGTTTGTGGATAAATGAGAGTTAGAATCTACTTTGATTTGACTGTTTTACAACCTTCTGCTCGGGGACCGTGGGTGTGAATTAACACAGCTGCTACAACCTGGTACAAGAAGATAAGATAAAAGAGCCTTTATGGTCCCACAGTGAGGAAATGTCAGGGTTGTAGCGCACATACAGGACAGGGAGCAAACAGACTATACAACTCTTGTGTTTCATTAAACTGGCCTGTAGGGGGCGCATGAGCAGAGACAGTTTTGCTCCCATTGAAAACCATGTAAAGTCTGTTTTGGAGTCAAAGGCTCTCCTCCTGTGCGGTGTGCGGTTGTTGGAACAGTCTTAATCGGGGAAACTCAATTCTAAGGAAGTACTAACAAATATTTCTCAAAAGAGTCTTGATTTTGGGCATTTTTGGAAAGAAAAACAGAAGAAATAGCTGCGTTTCATTGGGGTGGCCTGCAGGGGGCGCTTATCTGGGAAAGCCTTTATCCAACTCGCCCGCCTCATTCCAGTGATTTTTCCAAAGTGTCCTCCTTTATATGAGACCACAGTTGGAACATGAACAAACTCTTGTCTTTCTCTATTTGTGCGGTTGCTACAAGCGTTCACCGCACAAAAAGATGCTTCTTCTTCTACTATATCTCTGTGTATAAACCTCTTCTTCTTCTACTATATCTCCGTGTATAAACCTCTTCTTCTTCTACTATATCTCTGTGTATAAACCTGGCAGACTGCACCGCCAGGGTACGTCACGTCCTGTCCCACGTTTGTTATTCACCACTGCCCTGACGTCAGATGAAACCCAAGAATAATAACAAGTAGCTGCTATGCTTCTTAGCTAGCTGTAAAAGGCTATTGGCTTTGGCTAATGTTTATTATTACACGGCTCCTCACAGCAGCAGTAGAACGCTCCATTTATTTGAATGTAATTTCAAAACGTTCTACGGGTCATTATTTTCTATAACGGACCTCTCAAAACAATAATGACCGCTGCCCTTTGGCAACGCACTCTCTGCTTGTCTTTCAAATGCGTGGATAACTCTGCAAGTAGTTCCGGCCACTCCTGAGCTAGCCACGCTTAATCAACACACTTAAATGTTAATCGGAGAATACTTATACATATACATTCTTCACACACGTGCACGGAGGATTTCAGAATTTACTGCTCTTGTCTTCATGACAAAAATACTATTTCTCTGCGTCAAAAAGCGATCATAAAAAACCCAGAAGTAGTTCCGGCCACTCCGGAGCTTTTTGCGCTCAATCAACGCAATGAAATGTTAATTGGAGAATACATTATACAAATACATTCTTAATACAAGTGCACGGGAGTTTTCAGAATTTTCCGTTTACGTTTTCATGACAAAAACACTGATGTAATGCGAGAAAAGGCGATACCGAAAAACCCGGAAGTAGATACCGGCACATTTTAAGAACATTTGCAGAGGATGGAATTATGGATTTAGGTTAAGTTTATGTTTGGGTCACTCACCGCTGATGTTCAGGATTCTTTGTTCAGTTTTCATGCAGTTCCAGAGAGTTCTAGTTTGGAAGTTGCTAGCCTAACTGTTGCTAGCATAGCCACGGGAAAGCCTTTGGGAACTATTTTATTTTCCTTCATTAAATAAACCTTTGGGCATTCCTAAAAGTGGACTGAAGTTTATGTAGTGTTCTGTTGGTACAAAGCCGTATAATAAGCAGATAATGACCTGCGTCATATACGTTATCCTTTACTTATGTAAACATTGAAATCATACCATTCCGTTGTTTGTTTTGTTGTTGGCCGAACATTTGCCGATGACTTTGTCTTGCACTAAAATAGATCTTTCAAATATTGTTCTAATGTTATTCTGTTCTACATGTTTTTACAAATAAACTATTCTTTTGTCCTCGGTGACAGGTTGTTTTCACCGCTGTTTAAGAAGCGCTTTTAGCTCATACTTCTGACCTTATGTGCACTGCAACACTGACATTTCTGCCCTCTGTGAGATGATAATGTTCTTTTGTCTTATAGCAAAAATAAATATAAAAACAATGTTCTACAAAGAACTAATATGAGCCGCGAGACGCACAAAAAGCTAATAACTGATCAAAAATGTAAAACAAATGACGTCTAATGTATTTATTTAAAGATTTAAACTTGCTTCTTAATTATTCTAAAATCAGATATTTAATTTTATTTTAGAATTCCGCACTGTGGGACCATTAAACAATCTTTTAATAAAAATACATTTTATTGATATTGCACCTTTCAAGTGCTACAGATTAAGATACAGAACCACAAACAACAAAACAAAGTAAAAGAATCAGAAGTCCATAAATACATCAAACTGAAACATGTTAAAATCTCTGAATCTAATTGTATTATTTTAATGTATAATTAACATTTTTTGATTATTAATGAAATGTTGTTTTAATG